AGGAAGGAAGGAAGGAAGGAAGGAAGGAAGGAAGGAAGGAAGGAAGGAAGGAAGGCCGCCTGAGAGGGGGAGGAGGAGACCGGCACCCCTGAGCAGCCCTGGGAGACGGCGGGGAAAGGCCCGGAGGTTCTGGGGCTGCAGGATAATGTTAACAGAATAACAGCAGTGGGTGGACCTTGGAGGCCTTCTACTCCAACCCTTTATTAAAGCAGGAGACCCTATACCATTCCAGAAAAGTGCCTGTCCATTCTTTTTCCCCCGTTTATCAAAAGTTCTATTTCTATATTGAACCCTCTATTCTATTCTCTAGGTACAAAGGTGTTAAACTATAAAAATCATCACAATTGTTGCAATCATATGGATATACATGTAGATAATATCATTGTAAAAAGTAATATCTTCCATATTGACATCAATTGGATAACCAACAAAGTATTTGCTAATCACTTTAAATCTTTCTCATGTAATCCACTTTTCTCATATTTCCAACCATCTAACCTCTGTTTTTGTGGACTAACCAACAAATGGTTAGTATAACTCCCGTGTTGACATTTTCTTTCATTTTTAACCTTAACCTATCCATTTCTGCACATTCCAATATTTTTTAAATTATATTCTCATCTCTGGAGGTTTCTTCATTTTTCCAGTATTGTGCGTATACAATCCGGGCTGCTATTGCAATATGTAGAATTACACATATATTGCCTTTATTGTAATTTCCTGGCAGCATGCCCAACAAGAATATCTCTGGTTCTAGGCCTATGTGTTGTGTTATCATAGCTTCCAGCCATATATGGATTTTATACCAAAACTTATTTCCTTTTGGACATGCCCACCACTTATGATAAGAACCGGGTATTTGGTTACATATCAACAATTAACAGATTTAACTTTGTACATATTCGCTATTCTTGCAGGTGAAAATATCCATCTCTAGAACATTTTATAAAAATTATAGTTTCCATCCCATAATTTCTGCCATTTACCTAATTTATTGCATAGCCAAAATTCTTAGCCCGTTACTGTTTTGTCCTTTTTCCTCTTTAAACTTAATATATTTAATTATATAATTAATTTAATACTTAATAATTATATATCCTTTTAATTTGAAACAAGTGGCTGTTCAGTCTATTGTAAAAAACATCTAGTGATGAAGCACTCACAACTTCTGAAGGCAAGCTGTTCCACTGATTAATTGACATATATTGGAACAGTGCTATCATGTCACCTCCAGTCTTTCTTATCTCTAGACTAGCCATATGCAGTTCTCCATATCCTTTAGTCTCCAGGCCCTTAATCATCCCAGTTGCTGTTCTTTGCACTTTTTTCTATGTCTCAACAACGTTTTGTAATGTGGTGACCAAAATTGAATGTAGTATTCAGGTGTGGCCTTACTAAGATTTTATAAGGTGGTAGAAATAGTTCACTTGATGTTGATTCTATGCCTCTGTTTACACAACCAAGTATTTCCCCAGCAAGTAACCCCTTGAGAAAAGACCTAGAAGAGCGGAGGAGAAGACTGAGGCAAAGTCTAAGAAAGCAAGTTGATTCACAGCAAGTTAAACAAAGTATCATCCTTTAGCTTCACATTTTAGGCTTCATCACGAACTTGTAATGACATATTAGTTTACGAATGCATGTTTTCCCCTTCCTGACTAAGGCTCTTTATGTTAATATGTGAGATGTTGCTTTTTCAGCCACTACACCACAGAGAATTCTGTCTGAATACACCTGCAACTTTCAAGAAAGACACAAACCCAGCTGGGAAAGACTAAGACATAAATTTGTCACGTGTGGACAGCCCTGGGAATCTTTTCTGAAAAGGATGGTTAGCACATTTCATCTAATTGCTGAATGAGAAAAATTATTGCTACTGTATTTTCCATAATGATTTCTCTCAAAATGGAATCAAATGTCAATTTAAAATCAACACATGCTGCATGCAGTAATTCTTTCCCTGCCATTTTAATTTGTTTCGTTTAGAAAAAAGTTTACTCGTAAATCAAAAATTGCTCCTTGGATCAGTTTCAACTGATTTCACAGTAAATTGAGATTATTTGGTAAAAGTGTACCCCTACTTTTTCCATAGTTCATTTCCCCATGAGCCGCCCACGCTGATTGTCCCTCAATCACTTCTGTTCATTTTGTTATGGGAAGAAACCAGCCATGCTGGGAAATCTGGTTGGGATGTCCTTGTGGTGGGAGTAATTTCTCACGGGAAGCGACAATGCTTGGATGCCATTCCTTCCAACCATTGCATTCCATCCCACCTCTCCCCCTTCTTTACCCAGGTGAGAGTGAAGCAGAATATAGGTGACAGTGCTAGTCAGTCTTGACATGCTTAAACCCCTCCCCCCCAGAAGAAAGGTGGACCTGAAACAAAAATAAATATGTTCAAATTATTACTTGATTTTCTGTGTTTTCAGGTTGACAAGCTCCTTGGCTTCCTTCAAAGTCTCTCAAATTCTGGTAATCAAGTTCTTTTCATCTCCTGACCAAAACTGGTTCCTGAGTTTGGAGATTAAGACTTGATTTAAAACCATCAACCAATAATTAAAAATAACAGGAACTGCTATTCAGCGAGGAAAACTTTCCAAGCATCAAATAATCGATTCGTGAGAAAATCATGATAATAATTGTAATGATTCTACTATGAGGGTTGAGTAAAGAAGATAAGGGTAACTAATAACTGCCAAATAAAGGACTTTCCCAGGCTGAATAACAAAGGACTTTTTCAATTGTATATGCTGTTTCAACCTCCTGAAATTGTACCTTTTTAGAAGAGACTTAGGTTGACTCATGATGCCATTTCCCATGTAAATATTCTTTTAATGCAATGCTCATTTCAGTTGTTATGCTTAATATGGGATGTTACTGCCAAAGTCTCTGATGTAACTTAACTGAGCAGGATCATTTCTTCCATGCAATCAACTCTCCTTTTCTACTTTTTCTACTGTGTTGAGTATAAAATGAAACCCAATTCTTTGTCCCGTGTTCCCTCTTTTCTTTGATGTAAATCTTTTTGCTACAATAGTCTAACGAATTGCTTTTAACTGTCATCCCACTCGGATCCCAATTGAAGCAAGTGTTCCCTGGTTGAATCTGGGGCTAATTTGGCCTTCATTTTTGTGGGTGTGAAAGAGCTTCTCCCTTTCATTGGTTGATACAATCTATGTGGGTTTTGCAAAGAGACAATCCCCAGATATCTGAAACCTTGTCAATTGGATTCCTTGAATGGTCCCCTTGTCTTCCAGCAGAACTCTCTAAGGCCAACAAAAATATCGCTTTGCAAGATACAAGTGATATTCTCAAAGGGCCTGCATTCTTTTAGCCTTAAACACCTGGCTTTTCTCCAAGCGCTGGGAGATGAGACAATGAGAAGTTGGCATGGATTCATGCCAGTCCTTTGCTGGTTTTTATTTTCGATATTTTTTGTTTTACAAGTTGTACAGTTTTTAAAACTGCTTTTTGTGAGCTGCTCAGAGCTGACTGAAAGATGGGCAGTTATGTTTTAAATGAATACGACTCATGAGGGACCTGTTGGATCTCCCACTAGGTGCAGAGACTAGAAGTTTCCCAGTTTCAGAATCGTGAAAGCATTTCTGTGCTTCCTGTTCATCAGCTAAATGATCAGCAAAATATTCATCTTGTTCCGATGTCAAAAGGGCTGCATCAGGATTGTGTTTGACATGCGAGGCGGGAACAGATGGGTGTTTTCAGTGTAATCGTGGCCATCTCATGGTTACTTCTGTTGGGGGCACCTAGTGGCTAAGTGACCAAGGAAGGACTTCCCTCAGACCCTCCCTCATTATAATCTTCCTCCCTCCATTTTCCTTATTTTTCCTTCCTTCTTCTCACCTTTCCTTCTTTCTCTTTCCTGTCCCTTCTTGCATACTCAAGGGCAAAAGTTTCTTTTTCTTTTAGTTTGTTTTCCTAACACACTGCAAGTGAAAATGGACCCTCTTTTAGCCAAGTTCCAAATGTTGAGGGATCCAACAGTTAAAGAGACCCAGAAAGAATCCAACGTGGATCATATCAAATTACATGATTTCCTTTTTCCAACAATGAGGTAATGATTTCTATGGGAAAATTCACTATGAGGAACCATTGGCAGGAGATTCTCCTCCAATTCTGATATTCAGGAAGAATAATTTTCCTGCATCAAATAGAGGCTGTGTAGTGGCCATTTAACAGCACACTTGAGTGAGTCACATATAGAGTTTCTTTATTTATTTGGATCCTGACTTTATTATTTCTACAAAGAAGGAGGAGAAGATATGGAAGAAAAGAAAGGAGACAATTTGGAGCTCAGGGTTGGACTGAGGGGTCTTTGGAGCTCTCTGAGCCCCCCCGCTTCCAGCCACGGTGACCTCTCCCTCCTCTCTTCCCCCAACAACGACCCTGTGAGGTGGACTGGAGTGAAAGAGCTTCTCTTGCTTTCTCCCTTGGTGTCTCCATCACTGGACACCTCTTGCTCCCCTTTATAGGAGGCTATAAAGTCTCCGCCCCAGAAGAGACCCTGAGCTCCCCCGGCCTCAATTGAGGGGAGAGAAGGACCCCAAAAATCAAAGGGAGCCCTCCACTCCCATCTCCGCGGGGAACCATAGCAGCCATCCACAGCGCGCAGGCGTCATCTTGCTGGATGTAGGAAGTGAGACGTCGATTGGTCGCTCTAGGGAGGACGGCGATTGGCAGGAGGACTCCTTGGGGCGCTCCTTCGAAAGGAAAAGGCGGAACTTCTGGGAAAAAAGCGTGTGAAGCCTCCACTTCCGGAAACAAAACGGGCATCGAGGGAGCTGCCTGAATCGGCGACAGAGCAGACCGTATGATGCAGGTTTGGCGAAGGGGATGCTGGGAGTCTCAGAGTGGGAGTGTCTCTTTTGGATCCGCTTGTTCTGGAGGCTTCGGCCTGAGCCTTTCCTGCCGGCAAGGGGACGAAGTCGTGAACCGCCTCTCTCCCCCCAGCCCCATGCAGGAGGACGGAGGAGCCCAGCGGGGGAAGGAAGCGCTGCCTGAGAGGAGGAGGTCCTGACGCGGCTTCCCCTGGAGACGGTGGGGAAAGGTCGGGAGGCTCCGGAGCTGCAGGAGGGATGAGCCCATGGGGACCGCGGGAAAGGCGGCTGCCTGGAGGGCAATGCGGGGAGGAGGAAATGGGAGGAGTCCACGAGACAGGCCAGGAGGGCGGAAGGTCCTTCCGAAGACCCGGGAATCCCCAAAGGATCCAGAAGGGAGGAAAAGAATATCAGTGCTCGGAATGTGAAAAATCCTTCAAGAAAAAGGACCTTCTTCAGAGCCATTTAAAGGTCCATTCACGAGAGGAACCATTTAAGTGCCAGGAGTGTGGAAAGAACTTCAGTCGGAGGGGCAACCTTTATAGACATCAAAGCATCCATTTGAGAGAGAGATTGAAGAAATGCCTGGAGGGCGGAGGGTCCTTCGGGAGACCAGGAAGGCCCCGAAGGATCCAGGAGGGAGGTATGAAATACAAATGTCCAGAATGTAAAAACTTATTCGGGAGAAATGACCATCTTCAAGGCCATCTAAGGGTTCATTCAGGAGAGAAACCTCATAAATGCCTGGATTGTGAAAAGAGCTTCAGTCACAGGAGCAACCTTTATAAACATCAAAGGATCCACACAGGAAAAAAACCTCATAAATGTCTGGAATGTGGAAAGAGCTTCAAAAAAAAAGAGGTTTTTAAAAGGCATCTAAATATCCACTCAGGAGAAAAGAAATATGAATGCATGGTTTGTGAAAAATCTTTCAAAACAAATGGCAATCTCCAAAGGCATGTAAGGATTCATTCAGGAGAAAGAAAATATGAATGCCCAGAATGTGAAAAATGTTTCAAAACAAATGACTATCTTAAAAGGCATCTAATGGTCCACTCAGGAGAAAAACCTCACAAATGCCTGGAGTGTGGAAAGAGCTTCAGTGAGAGAAGCAGCCTTTATATACATCAAAGAGTCCATTTACAAGAAGAATACAAATGCGGGGAATGTGAAAAATCCTTTAAAACAGTTAATATCCTTGAAAAACATCAAAGAATCCACAAGCCAAATATATGCCTGGAGTGTGGAAAGATCTTCACTACAAGGGGAAGTCTAGATAGCCATCAAAGAATCCACACAGGAGAAAAACCCTACAAATGCTTAGAGTGTGGAAAAAGCTTCCCTAGTGCTTCAAACCTCGTTCGACATCAAAAAATCCACACAGGAGAAAAACCACACAAATGCCTTGAATGTGGAAAGTGTTTCAGTATGAGAGGAAGTCTGTATAGACATCAAAGGATTCACACAGGAGAAAAACCACATAAATGTCTACAGTGTGGAAAGAGCTTCAGTCACAAGGGAAATCTTGATACCCATCAAAGAATCCACACAGGAGAAAAACCTTATGAGTGCCTGGAGTGTGGAAAGAGCTTCCGTTGTAGCAGCAACCTTTATAAACATGAAAAACTCCATTTACAAAACCCATACCAATGTGTGGAATGCAAAAAATACTTCAAAACAATTCAATTCCTTGAAAAACATCAAAGAATCCACACAGGAGAAAAACCTCATAAATGCCTGGAATGTGGAAAGAGCTTCAGTCAAAGGGTAAGCCTTGAGGACCATCAAAGAATCCACACAGGAGAAAAACCTCATAAATGCCTGGAATGTGGAAAGAGCTTCAGTCAAAGGGTAAGCCTTGAGGACCATCAAAGAATCCACACAGGAGAAAAACCTCATA